TTTATCAGAAGGTCTTTACGACTCCCCGGCTACATTTATTTCCAGTCTTAACTTTATCATTCGTGAGCGCTTTCCAAAAAAATCCAACAGAACCAAGACAACTAGATTCTTTTATGATCATTCTACGAAAAGAGCGACGTTAAAGCTCTATGACGAAGGCGCTACAGTACAATTGAGTCCCGTTCTGAAAAAGATGTTAGCCTTCCCCCTCGATGTAATGAGCGGAGCTGGTAAATACGAAGGTTCTGGAATGGTTGATATCCATTCAGACGGTTTCATCGGTTACATGTTATTTGTTTACTGTGACCTGGTGAGACATCGACAGGTTGGAGATATGCTTGTACCGCTCTTGAGGGTCGTTCCAACCGTTGAGAAAACGGCTGACGTTATTTATCAAATTTATGAGAAACCGCATTACCAACCCTTGGGAAGACATCAGTTCAACACTGTAGAAATACTTTTAAGCTCCGACATGGGGAAAACAGCCTCATTTGCAAAAGGAAAGACTGTGGTTACACTTCATTTGAGACCGAGACGTTCTTAGTCAAAAGAACAATCATGCGTCGGGTATATAAACCCAACCCTGGACTGTACGAAGCTTATTATAGACAACAAGTTGGTGGAGGACTACCCGTATTCGTTGGTAGTGGTCTTCAACGTGGTCGTGGACTTGGTAATTTATTCTCCGGTCTCTTGAGAACCGTTGTGCCATTAGTGAAAAGTGGTGCAAAAACATTACTACGAGAAGGAACAAGAGGAGGATTACAGATAGCTCAGGACGTTTTGTCAGGAAAGAATATCAAGACTGCTTTTAAATCGAGAGCTAAAGCTGCTGGACAACGACTTCTCAAGGAGGCTATTGGGGAGTTTCGTGCAGCACCACCGGGTATACCGGCGATAAGACAACCAGTTAAAAAGAGACCCCAGAAACGAAAAAGACAAAAGAAAGAACCAGATATTTTCCTCTAACATGTCGCTTCTTCATCAAGACTCCCCGGAAAGTGTGGATTCCGGTCTGGATCTCTTCACTCTACCCCCTACTCAGACATCGGTTGAAGATGGAAATTATGTCGAATACCACCCCTTGGCTTCTCTGAATCAATCCGTCAATATTGAATTTTCAATACCTCAGAAGGCATCCGAAGAGTTTCTAGACCTATCAAACACATACCTCCACGTGAGAGCTAAGATTGTAGAAGCTGATGGTACATCTTTGGAGAGAGGGGCGAGTGTGGGGCCAGTAAATAATTGGCTACATTCTTTATTTGAACAGTTAGACATATCTCTGAATAACGTGTTGGTAACATCAAGCGAGAATACCTACCCTTATCGTGCAATTCTAGAAAAAACGATTAACTATGATCGTGGGGCTAAGAAATCTCAATTTAGTTCTGAAATGTATTACAGAGATAGTAGCGGTCATTTCGAGGATATCAAAGGAGAAAACCTGAAAAACACTGGGGCCCTTGTACGTCGCTCTATTGCTGGTATGAGTAACGAGGTCGATATGATTGGGCGGTTACACGCGGATGTTTTTAACATGAATCGATATCTTCTGAATGGTGTAGACGTAAAACTAAGATTAGTAAAATCAAAAGATTCTTTTCATCTCATAGCAGATACAGCAGAAGATCCTGGGGGAGAGAAATCCTTTAAAACTGAGCTTACCCACGTTTCCCTCTTCGTAAGAAAGCTTCGATTAAACCCATCTGTTCACTTAGGAATTGCGCAAGCCCTTCGATCCAGGAATGCTGTTTATCCCATTAACCGCGTTTCGATTAAATCATTCGCCGTTCCGGCGGGTCATTTGAGTCAGACTTTTGACAATCTGTTCCTCTCCCAACTTCCAACTCGAGTTTTGGTATGCTTTGTTGACAGCGATGCATTCAATGGTAATTTTAAAAAAAAATCCTTTCAATTTCAAGCACAATGACGTCTGTTATATTTCCCTACACGCAGATGGTAAACAAATTCCAACCACTCCTTTGACCCCAGATTTTAAAAATCACCTCTATGTTAGATCATATCATCGGTTGTTCAGTGAGTTAGGTCTGGGTTCTAAAAACGAAGGGAATTATCTTGAAGTTCGAGATTTTCCGGGTGGTTACGCAATATTTGCTTTTGACCTTACACCTAGTATTTTAGACGGTAATCAGATTGAACTCATTAAATCTGGGTCTCTGCGATTGGAGCTGAAGTTTAAAAACCCCTTACCTCAACCCATTCACGTTTTACTTTACGGGGAACTTGATTCTCTGATAGAAATAACCCAAAGTCGCGAAGTTTTGACAGATTTTACATCATGAGAGCATATGAAATGTTATACTTGCTGAGAGCAGATCCTCCATCCAAACGAATTTTAGCCGGGATATACCCGAGAGATAAGTTACCGAGAGGTTATGTTGTTTCTAAAAAACCCAAATGTTATATTGTCAATACGGATATTTCTACCGGTGTTGGGGAACATTGGGTATGCGTTTGTATACATCCCAACGGGATC